TCACAAGGAAACAGGTACACGGCAGTACTAATGTCAGCCACGTGTGCTGGGGTTTGGGTTCGGTCAGAGATCCTGTATTTCAGTTCTGATGCAGCTTGAAACGCTTGGAGCGGGCAGATTGGGCTCGGTGTAGGTCAGTGTAGGTGTGCCGCTAACGAACCGTATATTTGCTGCACCCGGGGTTCCTTCGAAGGTACCTACATAGACGTTCTGGGATCTCGGGTCAGTGCCAACATTTTGATGCTATTCTTATGTAGTGTTCCTACCTGTGAAACCCAAAGTGCCAAAGCCGAAACCAAATCCGTTGCAATGGCCGGTTCTGCATGCGTGTTGCGATCTAGCAGCACTCAGAGTTTATCATCCTCAGCGACTTCCTCTACCTGTCACACAGTTCGCGGGTGGCAAAACCCGCGTTTGGCCACCAAAATCATTTGGTGTTTCCTGAGAGAAGACTGGGATGGGACGTGCCTGCCTTGGCTGATTTCACTTGTCTTCCGCTTGCGCCCTCCAGTCGCTGCCTTGTGCTCGCCAGTCGCTGCCCTTGCCCATCCGAGGCACTTCTCCGAGATGCACATCATCAGATGTGGGGATTCTGCAGAAAATCACGAGCTGCTGTGCGAGGGGCTTTTGAGCCCCAAGCTACGAGTTAATGTTGTGATCCAGGGCCGCAACCAGATGGCTAGAATATCCCACCCAGACCAATGCATGATTCAAAGTCAGTTTGCCGCTTGCATGCATTTTGTCGTGCGACCGCGAGGAACGCGCAGATTTGTCCCTTCTTGGTGTATTGCATGCCTCAGGACACCGTCACTGCAGGAGGTAAAACCCTCTCCTCTTTGGAGGAGTCTTTCGGAAAGATGCCTTGGCAAGACGGACTGGTCAGAGTTGCGGTACGGGCAACTCAAGCCGACGTCCGGGCGTCCAAACAAGTTGCTGTCCGTTCATCGTCTCGCAAATTCTCTAGCGTTAGCCTGCCCTGGTTGGTTTCTGAGGCCGCTGGGTCTCAGATAAGGCCCACATGCAAAACAGGTGGAGATGAGACAGACGCTTCCTTGAGTGGTGCTGTCGATGCACTGTTCGCCGAGATTTTGGAACATATTTCGACGGGAGAGTTGGAGCCTGCGGCAGCGAGTGTGCGACGCCTCAAGGCGTTGCTGGTGTTCTCATCAGGGCGTCAGTCACGAACGAAAGGAGGTAGGGTTCTGTTGTGCATCTGATTTGCGCGGTCTAGGAATCGGAGTTTGTTCAGATATGCCCTTGCAGGTTGGCAGTATGCTGCTGATTACATGCTTCACACAGTGTTGCTGGCTGATTGCCTTCGGCCTCTACAGCACGAGGACCCCATGGGACCAGCAGTTCGAAGGCAGGCGGGGGCTGTTGGGGCTGATGATGTGTAGGAAACCTGCTTTGATACTGTGGCAGCGCGGCCCCTTGAGCTAAGGTGCTTGAAAATGGTTTTGAAGCCGGATGTTGCCGAGCATCTTTTGCAGGGCGACACTTCGCTGCAGATAGAGTGGGTTTCATGTCGATGCAAGTAGAAGCCGGTTTGTGGCAGATCAGCTCAGGACTTGTTGCTCCCCCAGCGCACATCGATTTACGGGTTTCGAATCAAAATGGACCTGTGTACAATGTTGTTTCCTGACTGCACATGGAGAGACAAATTGAGACAAACACTTGTAATGCTTTCATTTCACGTCGCCTGTGCAGGTTTGCCAGAGAGTACGTCTATGGGGATCGCGATGATTGGATCATGCATGTGCGTGTCGATTCTTCACCTCAGTTCAACCGGGATTACCTGGTATCAGAAGTGGATGTAGTGAGCTTGGACAAGACATTCTCCAGTGAACTGGACACTGCCATGCAGGATGTCGGCTTCGCCACGCGTATCATGCCTCTCCAGATTCTTGGCCGAAGGGCCACAAATACTGCTTACAAGTACAGGGCCTTACTCAGGGCTTTGAGGCTTGAAGTTGGAAGTGAGGATTTGATCAAAGCCAGGACGTTCAGCATGTTGCATGACATGGGGGTCGAGTCGAAATTGGCCATGGTTCCTGGGTTCAGCTCGGACTGTGATGATCGCTGGTTCGACAAAGCGCTGCCCTTGCACGATCTGGACCACGGCTTGCACAATGTAATGCTGGAGCTGAACGAGTGTTGGGAAGTTGATTTCTACAACGCATGGGAGCGGCAGTTGAACACGATGGCCAAACATTTCAGCAAAGCAGACAACAATGAACGCTTCGTGAAACAGTGTATTTGGGATAATCCTAAGATCGAAGGGTACGCCCGAAAGAAAGCGATCGCAGGGATGTTCAAAAGCACTTGCCCGACGCTTGTCCAGCATCGTTGGCAGTATATGCACGATGTTCTCGTGTGGGTCACCGATCGCAGAAAGTTTCTCATGTACTTGGACCCCCATATTGTTTCCAGCAGAGAGAATAGTGAGGGCCAGTCAGGGCAGTCTGACGATGTCATATCCGACATGGATGCGGCGGCGTTTAAGCTTCTGTACACTGACAAGCTTGTTTCTGCAACTTTCTGGGCAATGTGTGCCGTCATGCTCATCTTGTGCAAGTGGGGTCACACCGTCGTTGGCTGGCTACATGGTTGCTGGTGTCATCCAACCCAAGATGACAGAGCCAAGTTTCGGAAAAAGAATAAAGGTGCCAACTGCAAATGGTCCGGCAGACGGCTGATTGAACTGTCGTGTGGTAGTGCTTTGGAGTTCTTGGCTGACCTACGCTCGTTGAGAATTGAAAACTCGTCCCTCGCTATGGAGTCGATGGGCCTCCTGGTGAAGGAGCAGCAAAAAGCTTCGGGAGCTTCAGCGGCTGCAGGTGATGATATGGCTTCGGACATTATTTCGGTGGGGTTTGTCACGGCGAAGAGGATGCTTGAATCTCGATTCTCACAGCTGACATCTTTTGTTAGGGAGCCACCTTGGAATTTGATCAGTCTGTTGCAGTTTCTCATCGTGCCTGCGTCTGTCCGTTCCGGTGCTGTTGTAGAAAGCCGCCAAATTGCAGCAACAATGCTCCAGAAGTTTGATCAGGGAAAATTCGGAGATGTCGGTGACATTGGACGTCGTTTTCTTCAAACCACCCACCGATCAGCGTTGAAGCGCTGGGCAAATTCCCAGGACAAGTTCATGGATTTGTCCTTGTTCAGGGCGCTGTTGGCTTATGCCTCCAGCCTGAATGTCATGCAGCGGCTGGAAGCAAAGCACCACCTAGTTCAGGCAGGCGCAGTTGGTTGTTTTCCGCAAGACAGGGACCGTGAGAGACAGCACATGCACTGTGCCTGCGTTTCTGCCTTGAGTTAATGCAGTTGACGTGTTGTGGCTGTTCAGGTGCGGATGTGTTCAGCGAGAGCCTTGGGCGTGGCGCACCTTTCTGCAAACATACGACGTGCTTTGAACGGTGATCTGGAGCGACCGGAGTTTGAACGCAATCTGGATAGATATCTTTCCAGCTTCTCTTGTCTTGTACAAGAAGAATGGGGTTCATTTAAAGAGCTGCAGTCTTTCACGACGGGGCACAATCTTGAAATCATGTTTGCCGACCGCTCACCTGAAATGCAGATGATTGCTGCTGCGAGCAAAGATACCACCGAGGATGATCCTTCTTTTCGTGACAAATTGGACCATGTCATGAGCCTCATGCGCAAGTCGGGGCATTATTGCATGCCTTGCCTGCAACAAGGCAATCCCAATGTCACGCAGTATATGTGTTTTCAGTTATTGGGTTTTCGTCCAAGCAACAAGAAGTACATGCAAAGGCTTACAAACTGGGGGACGAACCGTTGGCACGGTCAGCTTGCGTGTGCGGTCTTGGGGTCGTTTAGCGTAGACAACCCATGTGTTTGTTTGGAAGATGGCGAGCGGGTGGACCCCCCAACAGTTGACGCTGCCCGAGTGGTCCGATCACGAACTTGCAGTGTTCAGACGATTCCACTGGAGTCGTTCTTTCGGAACAACAATATCGATCACCTTCATCAGTTTCATGTTGTGGAGCACCGGGTCGATTTCGACACGGAGATGGTCGATGACATGCTGTTTGACGAGACCGAGTCTCATGACTTGGCCCTCACGAGTCTTGCCTGTTGTGAGCTGGACCTTGACGACAGTGCGAGCCTCGTTGTGTAATCGAATTGGCAAACTGCTGTTTCTCAGGACTGCCATATGCCATCTTGGCAAACAGGCTGTGCGGACAGGACTGCCACTCAGTGTTCCACCGTCGCAGCAGAGTGCTGCTGATTGGATCGTGGAGCACGAGCTCGGCGAGTACAACGACCGCCGGCAGCTAGTGGTGCAATCGCTTGCGATGAGCTTTGAGACGCATCTAGCAGCTGTCAGGCCGCTTGATGAGCCGGATGATTTAATGGACCGTAGCTTGTGGTCGCTGCGTCGTCAGCTTCGGTCGCAGGGCTGGTGTGAAGCTGAGAAAGGTAAGAGACTGTCAGCCGCACGGAAATACTTCTCCGGGAGCAACAGGGCGCCCAGCTACTATGTCATCTTGATTGAACGAAACTCAACTGAAGCGCTTGTCCAGCGGTATCTGAATTTTGGAATAGAGTCTTTGACTAGGCTTGGACACCTTTTTGCATCCCAGGTCCGCAGCAAGCCACAAAGTATGAAGAGAACCAGAACTTTGCCCATTCTGGTCTGCGCGCCTACTTTGACACGTTGCTGCTTGCGATGCGAATGCAATCACCGGCTACCTTCATGGTTCCGAGAGAGATGAATGCAAAGGGATATGAGGCCTTGGCGCAATTTTTGCAAGGCCACAACACCGAAGTTCTTAACGGGTGCATCGTGATGTCTTGTTTCGAAATAAATGCTCGGTTGTCGCTCGATTGTGCGAGGCGGGTGCTGTGGAGCCGACCCACGGCAAGATGAAACTTGTTTTCACAAAGCGAAGCGTGCCCGGCGACCTCGTGCACACTCCGCTCCTCCACGCAAGAGTCGCAAAACTACTGCTGCCGCACCCGAGGTCTTGTCTCAACACGGTAATTCTGGCGACCCTCTAATGGTTGTTTCGTCTGGTGAAGAGGATTTGGAGGATGACAAGATCTTGGAAGGTCAAGACGATGATGATCAGATTCCGCCAGAATGGTTGGAGGAGTCAAATGCCAACGAAGGTGCGACTGATGTTGACGACCTTGCGATGCATCCAGACACGGGCGTTGGCAGTGTTCCCCCGGCTGACGGGGAGTCCCAGCTTGATGATGGCGATGCAGAGGAACCCGAGAGTGTCTCTGCGCCCGTCTTTGAGCCTCGATGCCGCACTGACGGGCATCGCGCGGTCTGTGAAATCCTGCTACCGGTGCTGCTCGAAGTCATGCGGGAGCCTGCGTGGTGTGCTAGAGTTCCTCGAGAACAAGTCCGCCAGGCTGCTCACCGTCGCTTGACCAGCAATTGTTCGGCACATTGCCGGGAGTGAAAGGTCCATGCAAACAAGACCGGGCTTGTGAGATTCTGAGGTGTTGATATGAGCGGTCGGCGGTTCTGGGGAGCACATCAGCTTTATTCGCGCAAACGGACTGCAGAAGACGTTGAAACTTGTCATCAATTGCAGCCCTGAACATGTGGGTTTGGTCTTTGGATGTTGTGTGGGGTTTTGTTGCGACAGCGTGCAGCATGCCAGGTCTTGACTTGGTATTACGACACTGTCAAGAGACTGTGTTGACGTGGCCAGCCAGATTTTCGTATTTGGAGCGATGCATGGTGCAGTGTTCACAGGGTACCGGTGCAAAAGAACAGATCCACGGGTGAGACTGTGCGAGCATTAGGAATGTCTGTTGCAAGCCAGAATCAGAGAATGAGAGCTCATGCGATGCATCCGGACAGCATTCCTTCTTGCGTATGTCGTGAGCTTGCTCGAGTGTACCCCGAACATGGAGTCTAGAATGCAGGACAGAACACTACTGGCATGTGGTGTACAAGTAGTGTGTATGTGTGTGGGAAAGGCCTGCTTGTGTATCTTTGTAGAACTTGTATGACTCCGGAGTTTGCTTATAACCTGCGGTGTGATGAACGCATAATGTAGGTTCAATGTAGACACAGTGCCGATGGATTTGGCAGCAGCTGTTTTTGACTTTGATGAGGCGTGTGAGTCCCTGGTCCGTAAGAATAAAGTGAACCCATGCACAGACTGTGAAACAGATGCTGGCAGCAAGCGGAGAAAATCTTCAAGTACGCCGAATGCTCTGAAGATTTGGGACTGGGCACATCGACTCCTTGATGTGCTTCAGGGTGACGGCACGTTCTGTAAGTACGAGACCATCAATGTTTTTACAGAGTTCACTGGAAGTGCCTGTGCCGAGAGCGCGGTGGAGTCGGTAATCAATCATCTGCGTGGTGCGGTGCCGAATCTCCATTTCGTGTCCATGGCGGACATCAAGCCCCAATGCAGGACGGTGTGTATGCAGACACGTCGGGGCCTGAGGAGGCACCGTAAAGAAGGAGTTTAGGGAAAGTTTAGGGTTCAAGTTTGAGGCCTGAGGCTTCTATAGTGGTTAGGAATCAGGCGGGATTTGGAATTTAAGTTTAAAGGTGTAGGGTTTACAGTTTGCGAATTGGGGTTTCAAGGTGTAGGGCTTTGCGTTGCAGTTGCTGTTTGCTAGTGTAGGCCAAGTGCCAACGACTAAGATCCGGATGTTTGCTGCTTTGGCAATATTCTTGACGTACTGCCTGATGAAGTTCGTGGAAAGGTTTATGCCACAGTCTTGGAACATGCCGCTCGGCTCAGCTTGCGTAAGATGAACATATTATACTGATGACAGAGAACGTGATCATGATGATGATAGTGATGATGGCGAGATGACGGTGAAGGTGATGATGGTGATGATGACTCTCCCCCCCCCCCCCCCCCC